GTGGATGGGGATAGATAGATAGATAGATAGATAGATAGATAGATAGATAGCGGGGGTGGATGGGGGAGAGAGAGAAGGAGGGAGGGTGTGTGGGGATAGATAGATAGATAGATAGATAGGGTGGATGGGGATGGATAGATACTTTGTTCTGTCTGTTATTACTTGAAACCACTTAAATCCTCCTTTTTGTATTTAATAAAATCACTTTTTACTTATTCATGAACCCAGAGTATGTATTAATACCTGGGGGGGGGGGGGGGCAAACAGCTGGGCATCTCTCTCGATCAGTGTTATAGAGGGTGGACAATTTGTGAGTTTCCCCTGTATAAGCGTTATACAGAGTCAAACGGATTGATTTGGGGTTTGGACCCCATTGGGAGCTGGGTAGGGTGACCAGATGTCCCGTTTTTAAAGGGACAGTCCCGTTTTGGGGGACTTTTTCTTATATAGGCGCCTATTACCCCCCACCCCCTGTCCCGTTTTTTCACAGTTGCTATCGGGTCGCCCTACAGCTGGGTGTCTTGGTGCTGGAGACAGGAGAATTTCTTAAGCTGTTTCCAGTTAAGCCTACAGCTTGCGGGGGACGTGGTTCAGACCTGGGGCTGGGTTGTAGCAGGCCAGCGTGTCTGGTTCAGACCAGGCAGGGTACCGAAGACCCAGGCTGGCAGGGAAAATGGGCTCAGAGGTATCTCAGCACATCAGGCGGCAGTTCCCAAGAGGGTTTCTGTGACCCAACCCATCACAGGGACATTGGACTGTAACCTCTGGACTGTTTCTAAAAGGACTTTTGGCAACTATAAACTCACCATCTCTGCTATGTATCTGGACATCAAGAACTGAATTCACGTCTGTCTGGAGATTGATCTTTTAACCAACTCTCTCTTCTCTTTTTTAATACATTTTAGTTTAGTTGACAAGAATTGGCTCTTTGCGTGGATTTGGGGTAAGATCTAAGTTATCATTGGACCTGGGTGTGTGGCTGGTCCTTTGGGATCGGAAGAACCTTTTCTTGTATATGATGAGATCAGATTTTCAGAATTTATCATCATATCTGACGTGTGTCTGGACGGAGGCCAGGCACTTTAAGGGAACTGCGTTGTTGGGACGTCTGAGTAACCAGTGAGGTAACACAGAGGCTGTTTTGTGCTGGTTGGTAAATCTAAGTATTGGAAGATCCACCAGCTTTTGGGGTTTGTCTGCCCCGTTCTGTTTGCAGGTCAGCCTGATTGAGTGACCTCAGCTGGCTCCCATGGGCACCATCGTCACACCAGCTGACCTGCCCCAGAAGTGGGCACATCTCAGCGCCGGGCGAGGGTCCCTGGGTAACCACCCACCCCGCCCCAGAGGTGGGCACATCTCAGCGCCGGGCGAGGGGTCCCTGTGTAACCGGCCGCCCCGCCCCAGAGGTGGCTGCATCTCCGCGCCGGGCGAGGGGTCCCT